ACCCTGTAGTAGAATCGGACTTTCTACACTACTGGCATGGATTGAAAGCGAAAATTATATCGTCCTCGAAATCGAGCCAAAAATAAATGTCATAAATGAGACTCATTTTCGAATAATTATGTGCTGCGAAGTGTACGTAGGTAGTCCAGGGATGGATCCCCACTTCATGGCCAGAAAATCCGGACATTCGAGCCCGCAGTAGCAGCGGTACTTCGCATAAAGCACAAAACATGTTTGTTAAAACAAAGAAATGTACGGATCAAAAAACTATTTGAGAATAACTTTTGATCTGTTTTACCTGGAACGTTTTCCAAGATGAAATCCTAGAGGGAAACTATTCTTGATTCCATTGTARGAAADYYAAATRAAYMMRAWATTGYKAAGAGCGTCCTTTTTGACAATTTTCTTTTCCTTTCGTCGTCTCCTTTGCCCTTGCATTTCACGGTGAAAATCCGCGAAKAAGCGAAATYTCACCGTAGCTGTTCGTGTCATTGATCATTACATGTCATTGATTTTTTAAAGATCATTTCTCAAAGTCTACACATTGAGCTAGAAACACAGCGATTTTCAGTTATCTTGAAGACGATAAACAGCGTCCTTTTTGGTACTAGAAATCGTACAATTTGAAAACACTAACTTGACGGTGAAATAGCTGGCGACGACTCGTGTTTCACGCGAATAATTAGCCTCGATCTTCCATTTTCTTTCCATTTTCTTCTTCGCCATGTTTGGTACCAAAATAAACCTTAGAAACGTTTCAGACTGGGACTGCTTTAATTTTGGCGGTTTTTACTCGCTCCTTTGCGCGCACTGGTAARTAGCGGGAAATATGAACGAAAGATAGACCAATCAAGTCTACGCTATTTAGTGTAAAYAATGTCAGACCTTTWAWRTTCCTTAGAAATGTACAAGTATAAACAAAAGATCACAATATCAACTGATGATCATTGTTTTACCTGAGGCAAACGTGTGTTCCAGCAAATAATATTATTTACACTATGAACATTCCAAACGAGAACCTCACAAGCCACTAATGAACTCAAGCATCAGGGCGTGCTATCCCAATACTCGTTTGTCGATGTTTTGAACGTCTCGATTTTAACCCAGTATTGTATTAAGATAAAGGATCGTTGACAAGAGTAGAAAGAGTAGAAAAAGTTCAAACCTTGTCAAGGGAACTTGTAGAAAACTCTATTTTGGTGGGAAAACCCGCTGACTCGTCCTGGGCTCAAATGTCGGGAATTTCTGACCATGGGGATAGTCATGGTTACAGTGCGGGTACGAAAACCGAAAATCGAATTTGAGCTGTTTTTGTACATACCCTCTTTATGGAGTTCCAAATAAGTACTTKTGAGGACTTTTTACTCAATACAGCATTGAAAAGCAGGAGAAAAATCGAGCTGTGAAAGTCGGGGTTTTCCTGCCGCCATTAATCTGAGCCGAGATGACATCGGTTGGCGGATTTCCCCAAACGTGAATCATATTACGTCATATATGCTTAACGCAGAAACGAGGTTGCCGGTCAGCCATATAAAACTATATTTGGAAATGGAGAGCTTGTAAAGCGTAGAAAAAAAATGAAGAAACAAAGTCGAGAGCATCAAATCAAACGTTTTTTCGAGTTCAAATGTAATGAATACATGCAAGTTCTATAATTCGGTCATAACAAATACACAATGCTATCCGTTCTTAGAAGACATATCATTGAGATAATCATGTCGCAGCAGGCGGCAAGTTCATCCACAGATTTTTAGATAACCTGAGGTTTACCATAAAACTAAGTTTTTGTTTTCTTTGTAGTACTCATAAGTTAAGACTCCAGTCATGCTACATATAAGATCGGCTTTGACTTTGAATTTAAATTGCTGATTAAACTGAATAGAAATAGCGGAGATAATCTGGCTAAATGCCTGGTTCTATAGAGGGATAAATTGCTTTGAGGTTTTTTTACGTTATGCTGACAAGAGCATGCATCTTTTCCGATGTCGACCACAAACTTACTCATCAAGAACTGTTCTTGTTGTATTAAATTATAATTCTTCAGAGTYATTTTGATGACATAAGCCGAATATTTGAATTCAATGGATTTTAAAAGAGCAAATATTCAGCTTATCTGTGTCAGAACCATAAATCGGTTATGATTTTCGGCAATGCTTTGCTGCAGTTCATTCATGATGAGTCGACTGAATTTCAAGTTGTTTGCCTCGAGCATTGTCGGAAAAGCTTAATAAACTTCGAAAAGTCCAAGTTAATAGAGTGTTTCTTATATCTATTTTATAGATAAAAGCTGCCACGATATGTATTGAATGCTTTTTTTTTCTTTTGGCCTCCAAAAC